ATCATATGAACTTAGGGACTGGGGAGAGTATAGCGTTTACTTGGTACAATGTACGAATATATGATTATTAAATAAATATAGACGTTCATTTCCCAACATTAATTTCTTATATGGACGGGCTGTTACTTGTTTCTTATTTTGTCAAATTCTCCTGGTGTATTTAAAAATAGGTCTAAAAATAAATATCAAAATCTAAACCTCATTATTTTCAATTATTTCAATTAATATTTTCATTTTTCATTTTTCATTGAAATGAAATATTTCATGAAATTTTAAAACCCTAATTATATCTATAGGCATGCAATATAAATGCAATTTTTTCGGCAAAAATGAATTTAACTTTTACCTACTGTAGTACTAAATATTAATCCTAATAGTAAAATAAATTACTTTCATCACAATAATATCATAAAATATATTCAGTAATATAGGCTGATATTCACTCAAAATCGTTTTTTATATGCAATGATTTTGTGTCACTGAATTCAAATTTAACACATTCATTACAGCGTCCCACTTTTACCGCTTTTTAATTTTAAATCTATATTTTTTTCCCCCTATGTAATGTTAATTTAAAACTTGAATATAGGTGGCTCTATGTTTAAATATAAACAGTGAAGTAATGCAGAACGTTGTTATTTTATTCTTGGTTCCTTTTAGTACCAACTAAGTTTTTAAAACTAGGTAGTTTTTAAAGAATCTAATATTTTTTTTTTTTAGTTTTGGTGACCTTGTAAGTAGGCAGCTTTATTTAATTATTGTTTAATTTTAATTTTAATGTTTTCTTATAATCTTTCACTATATTTATGTTTTCTTTTAACGGTTATTAATTTCTCTATGATTTTCCTCTAGGAAAATGTGGAGGCTATCTCTTTGGTATTAATAGTTAATTAATTTTTTGTTAATATCTAACTGACTTACCTATCCCATTAAAGCATTAAATGATAAAATGAAAGATGTATGTTTAATTTTTTGGGATATTTCATGAAAACTTCTGGTCATGACTAAATACAAATATTTACACTTAAGTAACAGCCTAACCAAATATTGATGTTCTTTATCAATTTATTTTCTGATAGTCACTGTTTTAATTGGATAAGCTATATTTATTTTGTGTACAGTACTAATATGTATACAAAATAAATAATTTTTGAAACATCAAAATAATATTTAGCCACCTACCAGTTTAGCTACCTATTTTAAAATAATTAAATTGTCTAACTGAAGCAGCTTATCAATTATATGCTTGTTCAAAAAAATGGCTCAAATAAAATATTACGGTTAACTGTAATTCTGACAGTAACAGTATCCGTTAATCTACGTCCATCAGTGTAAACGACTTAACACTATAAACATTAAGTATATTAGTTACCTAGTAGGGTAGTTTAAGCTAATGGTGATAATCCAAACTAGAAATATTATTTTTCATCATCATATCAAAATATCAATCTTAATTTAATGACCCCCGATAACACAGTCTTAAATTTTAATTGCCATGGCAAAGATAACTTACAAATATCCGTGTAATTTTATATTCTATAAGCATGGCAAAGAAACTAAGTGTTTTTAATATCTTAGTAACATACCTACCCCATTTATGTAGTGTATATTTTAAGATGCTTTTAAATAGTGATCTATAAGTTTAAATTATCCTCAATTGATTCAAAATTTGAATTATTAGATATTTCACTGAATTAAAATGTAGTTTTACGAAATTGTTTCTTAAATGAGTTAAATTCAATTCCTAGATCATTTAAATTCCTTTTGCTGTCTGTTAGTCATTTATGTTATAGTTTTAATATGTTATACAATGATCAATAAAAGCAGACCTAAAAATTATACATTTCAAATAGATGATTATTAGTTATAAGCGAAAAATTTTTGATAATTTTATTTAAAATCAAACTTATTCTGTATTAAAAATAAATATATATCATACAGTCTATTCACTCAATTAATAAAAGTCTAATACTGAAATTAAAATAAACTTTAAACAAAAAAACGTATTTAAAAACAACGTAGGTATTGCGTACTATAATATGGTGTTTATATTTTTTAGGTAAATCACGTTTGCAGATTATTATGAATGATACTATAGATTACTGTTGACATTATATCTAAGGCACGTTCAATAGATATTTTATAATATAAGAATACGATCATTAAAATTGGTACCTACCTAATACAATTTTTGATTTTTTTTAAATTTTCACAAACTCATAATTTTTGCTTTTATGAAATAAATTTATCCGAAGTTCTTTAAAATGTTTTTAGATAATATAAAAATATTTTTGGAGATATAATTACGAATAGGTTACATTTTTAGATTCACTTATACCGTAGTTATAAATTATAATTGAAGTTATAATGTAATCAAATATATATTTTTTATTAGGATAAGACATTGTTTTTATTGTCATGTCAAACTATTTCTGTGGGCTTTCCTCAAGTTAACCTTGTTATTAAAACTGCATAGATTGTACAGTTTCATTAGTAATATTGTTTCTGGTTTTAACATAACGGGACATCGATATGTTTATATCAAATTATATTTTAGGTCAATATTTTATTTATATATTTTTTAATTTGTATTGGTTACGAATATTAAGGTACAAAATAACGGAAAATATAAAATACTAGTTAAATAAATAATGTGTTGAAAAAGAAAGTTTATAAAATAATTTTAGACTATGAATGATCACCCCGCTTCATCACTCCGATAAATCTATACTTCAATCATTTTATTAATAATAAGGGGAGGAGGGAAATCGTAAAAACAGGAGTAGTTATAAACACTAATTATTGTTGTAATTCTGCAAATACGAATAACCTTAGGTGAAATGATATTTTTTCTAAATACTTATATTAGCATATCCTCAATGTTTTAGCTCTTTTTGATAGGTATTTAAAGACATTAAACATATTCTTCTTATTTTAGTTTATTTTATATAATATGTTAACAAGTAACAATCATTTTAATGTTCGGTCTAAAATCTTTAAAATACAAGATTTATTCTAAGTTGTTCTTATTGAAATTAAGAATTATCGAAAATACACATGTAAAATATTTTTTTTCAATATTTATATTTTGATAAAATTCAATATAGTGAATACAAGGCTCATCAAATGTTTGTAATAGGTACTATTTTCTAAAAATATTGAAAATACATAGGCAAAACATTTTTATATTGTAGGTTTGAAACAATTTAATATTTATATACATACAGCAGAGCGAATTGCCTAGTTATTTTTTTTTATTTTTAAATTAAGGTTTCAACAGCGAAGGTTATTAGCCTGAAATTAAATTTTGTATGGTATTTTGTTTCTTAAGATTAGGAGTTATATTATACAGAAGTTATAAAGGTTATAATTTTTAAATAATGTTTGTGGTAATTAAAAATGGTATGATTTAATTTTCGTTTTTGACTTTCGTCGAGCGCTTGTGATATGTTGGATCGCGTGTTGAGGTCGATGTTATTTGTCAAGTTTTTTTCATTGGTGTTCATAACGCTTTCTTTGACAACTTATAAAGTGATATTCACTTTAGTTATATAACAATAATTAAGTTAAATTGTCAATACGAGTGGGGTCAAAGTTACGTCTTAATTTGCCATCCACATATTTTCTGTTATAATTTTTGGATTTTTATTAACACATACATCATTTATATAATAGTTGCTAAATGTTTTATGAATTTTAAATGTACAATAAGAAATTCTTAAGTAAGCACCTTGGTATATTATTATTTACAATTTTACTATTGTATTCATGTTCTTATGTTAGTTATAAATAAAAGTACCTAAAATAAGTACAACATTTCGAAATTATAGTGTCATTAGTGTTTTCATGTCTAGACCATATTTGCGTATACGAGACATATTTATACCAGTGGTTAGGGACCTTTTGTGACCCGTGTGACCCCCTCCTAATTTATTTCCAATTTATTTCCACAAGCAGTGACCCCCACCAAAATGTATAAAATGTATATCTATATTAATGAAAACTGTAATATTTGTTCATTCCATTAATTCAGCATAGATACATAAGTGTATAAATTAAGTATACCTAAAATAATATACAATATTTCATTCCATAACTTGAAATCACACCAAAGTTAATTTTTTTTTAAATGTAATTTCAAACGAGTAGTGAGTTAGTCTGTAATGTATTGATGAGCTGAGTTATCCGAAAATTGTTGGTCCACTTCTTTATTCTGCTAGACTTTAGATAGTCATAAGTAACTAGCTATTCATTCAAAATTTGATTTTTATGAACGGAAATTCTCGGAAAACATTCTACTAAGTATAATTTTATTTCAAAAATATTGTTTCGTACCTATAACTTCAAATTATTTAAAACAATGTCAATATTCTGTAATACAATATGCTTGCTATTAAAAGAATCACGTAACGTGTACATCATGAACATCAGTTATTTCATTGTAAAAAGCATTGAAATTTTAAAATTTTGTGTAACCCACATTACACTTAGTAGTATACAATGCGTCATACATTTTGAGTACTTCTGTAACCAGAGCCATAACCTGTTTACCGGATTATATTTTTAAAATAAATGATTCTCAGGAATTAATTTTTAAATCTTTAACAAAATAAAAATAAATTATTCTCTTTTTCATTAAAGTTTTCAAATTAAACAACACCGATTATTGTATTAACATATTTTAATGTACCTATAATATTGATTTAATTAATAATTTACTAAAATTAAAAACCGTATTATATTTTATGTTAAAGTAAATTATATGGTTTGGGAAAATTGTATTCGATTTCTGTCCATTGACCTCGCTAGTAATTTATATTTTAGCAACTAACATTCATCGCTACCAAATAATCGTTCAATGAACTTAGTTCTGTGTTAATCGTTTGACTTGAGACACTTACCCACAAGTTATGATTTATATTTTATAAGATCTTAATAAAGTTTTTGTTATTTAAATTTGTCATCATACAATAATTTTTTTTGTACTGTTAACATTTTAGGAATATGACAGTATTTTGGCTGCACGGCGAAGAACTAATGTTTGGTGGTAACGCAGTACATCCTGTTCAACAAAGGATACCACAGATGAAAATGATGAAAGTCCACATACCGTTCACATTTAAATTACATGAGACATCTAATTCTTCGTACTCAGGTATGTATCGTTTGTTATAAATAAAATTATTTTTATTTTTAAAACGTTTGATTACCGTCTAATTATATATTATTTTAATAAACTAATTAGAAACATCTATTTAAAAATCGATTTTTACTACAAATATTTATACCAACAGCAATTTAATGAGTGGAATGCAATTAGTAACGATCGATACTAACATTAAATATTAGTATATATATAAACTAATAATTATATTTAATTATTAAAAGTTACATAAGTTACATTTCACATACTTAATTAAAATAGTTTATTACATGTTACATATTATCAATAATCTGACTATAATTTACTCAACATATTTTTTTAATATATAATGTTGAGTACATAATTATATTTTTAAATGGGTTAATAATACAACCTCAAAGGATACTATTATTTACAGTTTTTAACAATGGCCAGAAGCTAGTTTAAAATTTTTTTAAGAGGAAATAACTTTTATTATTGAAATGTTAATGGTAAAAACTTTTAATTTAGTCAAGTAGTTTTTTTTTTTATTACAATATTTTAAAACATCAACATTTATTTGTTGTAAACTCATTTAAAACTTAATACTTTTTTCAAATTATTATTTTCTGGAATTTTCTAACCTTAGTAAATCTTAAATTATTTTCTGTCCATATCATTTTCATAATTTTTTTCATCCATTTAACTAGTATCAATTTTTCATTTTTCATTTGTCATCTTTTGTTACATCCTTTTTATACCATTAGACTTCAACAAATGCAGTATTTATAACGAGAACGATCCTAGGCATATCTTATTCCCGACTATATACATTTTTTGTATTTTAGAAAGCTAAGCGATTTAGTAAATAATTCGTGCATTTACTTAATTTCAACTAAGCATATGTCGTACACGCATGTGTTGTCTCCGCCAAATAACGCATATCACTTCAAATTTTAGTTTACAAGAATCCATTTTATCCTGTTATTTTTAATATGATAGTGAACTAGCTAGATTCTTCTGAACTGAAAATTTGTCATGTTACTCGAAAGGTATTTCACCTGGTAATATGTCTTTACTCTATATTACACATGGACAACATAGTAAATTTGTGTTCAGTTGTTCCAATTCTGTGTTCAAACTTAAATGTAAGAATATTATTTGTGTTCTCTCGTTGATTTTTAATATATTTTAATTTTTATATAAATAATTTATATGCTCCTAATTCACTTACAAATTACAATATCGTTAAAACAATAAGATAACACAAATAATGTTTTGCATTTAAGTTTAATAATAAGTTAATTTGCTCTAATGTCTTAAGCTAACTATACAAAATTTAAATTACTAAATATACTGTTCCGTATGTTATCAATGATAACTTATCATTTATCGTTAGTGAGACTGTGACAACAATACTAGTGACCCTCTTTACGACGTCCTCTTTGAAACTGTACAATATTTTTACATTTTACAATGGTCATAACTTACTTAAAAATAATAATATCAATACAAGCCTTCGTCGTGCCATAGAATATTAATCTTACTTTTACATTTTACAATGGGTCAACTCACTCTAGTTATAAAAACAACAGAGTAAGATGGTTTCTTGTTAAAGTTAAATTTGTTATGTTGTGCATTTGTGAGATAAAGACAACATTACGGATGCCACAACCCTTTGTCATTACGAAACTAATACTCATTCAAAGGTACTTGTCGACCCCTCGTCACATCTAATCACATCCTTGAATAATCGCATTTCATAATAATATTGAGGTAGGTACTCTACGTTTTCTTCATGTGTTTCTATAATACTATAATACAATAAACATTATATAATTATAATTAGATCTTATTTATTAATTAGAAACCAAAGAGCAATATAATTAGTAATTTATGACGTAGAGCTTTTAAAGCATTGAGCTAATTGGTAATTTTAATTGTATTTTTTAAAAATTAAATCGAATCGATAGTATGTTATTTACTACCTAGTTCATTGTCTGTTGTGTATATATAATGTTGGTGGTAAAGTTCGACTTTTCTTCATACAATAATTATATAAAAAAAATTGTATGATAAAGTTATTCTAATGCTGGGTAGCACAAACATTTTGTTAACAAATGGTCCATATAATGTTATGTTCAAGTGACCGACAAATACTCAAAGATCCGTTTAACTTGATGAAACACGATATTTGTGCAATCCAGCATAAATGCTTTAATTTCTAGAAATACTTATCTATCATTTTATAATAATAATAACTTAACATGGTTTTGGTGTATGAATGTTTTGAACCGCTTTGCAAATGTGGATGATTTTTTTATCGTTAAGCCTACTGCAGCATAGTGGTTCAAAATATGTTTGTTGTTGTGAATATTATTTATTATTTATTAATTATATAACATAAAATATCATGTTTTTTATGTTGGTATTATTCCTATAATATTATGGTAATATGGTGCACGCAGATAAGTTGTAATATTAAATTATTATCGTGGAAGAACTTATAGTTAATTTTGTTTTAAATAAAAGTGCTTGAAGAGTATTCTTTATCCGTAATACTGAGTACCAAGGTCATTAAGCTCAACTGGTTTTTCATGATAAATACTACAGTTTTTTTTAAAGACAGTTTTCATAAGAGTGTACCTATATTTGAAGTAAGTATATAAGTGGTGAAAATTATTATTTTTCAAAGTTCTTGTTTTGTTTTAAGTGCTGAAATTAATAGTTATTTTTACCATTGCCAATTTGATTTTCTTCCATAGAATTCTATGTACCCATCAAACATCTCCTTAATGCCAACTCGCTAAGGTACTGAAATAGTAGTGCTTGAATAAGATATAGGACGCCAAAAATCATGCGTATTATTCAATGCTATTTTTATAAATTATTATTCTATTCATTAGCTAATAATATTTAATTATTAAACGACAAAATCGAGTATATTAACTTAAAATATCGATCTTATTTAGCTAAGTAACATTTAATGAATGGATTGAGATTTTGTTAATATAATTTCCACACTTGCTTTTATTTCAAAATTATAAAAAAATTGTTATTTTAATTTATTAGAAAATGTTTAAAACTGCACTTTTAAAAATTAAAATTTATTATTATTCAATTTAATAATTTGAGTGAAGTTCGACCGGTATTAATTTTAATCTTTTTTTTTATTTATTTCAATTTATTAAAATAAACACACAGTACAACAATACCTTAAAAATCAAGTTATTTTAAATTTTAAAGTAGGTACTCACATTTTTGTACTAATCAGCACTTGGACTTCAAACAAATAATGTTTAGAATATAACCCACTCCCTCGTTATATTATGGTTAAATTTGCATCAGAGAACATTTTGAATACGATTATTCTCAAGTCTTAACTGAATCCAATTAAGTCTAGAGCTTGTAAAATCCCATGTGTGATAATTCAAATACTTGTTTTCCTATAATATTTAAAAATAATCGGGACAACTATTCAGCACAAAACCGGTAGTTATACCTATACGTACAGTTTTTTTTTATTAAGTACCTATACAACGGATGTATGCTTCCTCGATGTTTATTATTAATGCGATCACAAGAACCCTAGAATAAAAGTAAATTTTTATCAAGTAATGTTTCTAACTTGTGTTTATGCATTTTAGTATTTATATTTTTGAAACTTCGTATTATGTTATCAATTTTTCAATTGTTTTAGGGATTATTGTATTTTGTTGCATCTATTAGATTATGCTGTGACATGTTTTTTTTATCATATTATGGATGTTTCTTTTGTTTCAACTAGCAGTGATTAAATTTAAAATTTAAATTAAAAAAAATATTAAGTATTCTCTCAATATTTTGTATATGCAGGGCTCCTGATCTAAAGTCCAAGACATTTTATCTATGATTAACTTGATTATTTGATATATTGATTATTATGTATGACGGGGAGATAGCTAACCTGAGTAGCGCGGGGCTATACAATTTTCACTCGCCCGGCCGAGGCTATTACAAACCTGTATCCATATTTTTATGTGAGAAATACATTATTATGTAATACATTTTTTTATGGCATCAACTGCCTGGTTATTAGCCGGTTTTTACTGTGGGAGAGGGTATGGTTGGATTGAAAAACGTGTATATGCGGCAAGGATTTTTCTCTAAGAATCCGGGTGGTCACCCATCTAGGAACTAGTCACACCCGCCGGTGCTGGCACTGAGAGCAAATTTGTGACTGAAGCCAGATTTAGCGCCACACCAAGCCGATATAATATTATGTTATCCTATTGGTATAAATGTATCCAATACACCTAAATGTATTAATTACCTACTAATCATATTACAAAGTACTGTTTAAATTATTTATTATTTGACTATCATAAAAATCGAAGGAAGGCGCTCTGCTGGATAGTATGAATGTGACTTTAGATCAAAGTTGTTTTTTTATTCTAGTAATAACTAATAATATAGAATTAATTGCTAAATTATTTATGAGTTATGGAAATCTTCATTTCTCCATGCTTTTTGATGAAAAAAAAAATAATAACAAAAATGTACAAAATGTTAAAACTTATAAAATGGCTAAAAATAAAAAGAAAGATCTGAAATATTTTAAAATTATTTCATGTTTAGGGAAATCTCATATGAATATTTGGTAACAATTTTCAAGTCCCTAAGTTTATTCATTTTTTGATTATATCGAAAAAAATTGCTGTTTAAAACTGATCTTGCGTAAATATTTACATATGTACCTATCACATATTTCTGTTATTTCGTAATTTTAATTTTGGTTATTTTCTGACTATTATGAAAAGTTCTGTGAATTTCCTACATTTTACCTAACTTAACCAGAACTAACTAGAACCTATTTTATATCAGAAATTACGCTCTAACTCAAAGATTTAAGCATTTTTTCAGCTCCAAAACGTAATGATAAACTTATAAAAGATTTTTCTTTATAAACACACCTCATTGTATTATTAATTCTGTAATCAGAATTTACAATTAATTATAAAATCTTCAATGTTGACAAATATTGGCTATAGATT